CCTGGCTCGCAGTCTAGCAGCCCAGGGACTCCCGAATCAGAGGCTCAGAGGTGGGGGAGGTTAAGGGGCTGTAGCCTGGCTGAGCAGAGAGCACGGGGCTGGGGGGGGGTGGAGGCTTTAAACTCAGGGAGCAGAAATTTCAGGGTCTCCCCCGCTGTGGCCACTGAGCTCTGGACCTCTCCAGGGACACAGGTCAGAGCGGACGAAATCCACTTGCTAAGGAAAGTATAAAAACCAGAAACATTCAGTTCATATAAATTCTTTTAATTTATGAGCAGTTGGGCGCATCGGAAGACGCTAACGTTTTTCATTAGTGTATAGTTGAACCTAAATTGTTTGTAATTGTGATTTTGTTAAAATTAACTGAGTGCACTAGTAGGAAATTGTTTTATTTCACTAACTACACATTTTCTGTTTTCATTACAAACAAAACAAAACAAAAACCATTGCAAAGTGCAAACGTGGAAAAGCCAACAAAAAAATGGGGGACGGCCAACATTTTTTTTGCTTGGGGTGGCAAAAAAACCTAGAGCCGGCCCTGATTGTATGCGTCAGGGATGGAGCAGAATAGCTAGGGGCCAGAACTCTTGTACGACTGGCTGGGTTGACCTTGGTAAAATGAAGATCTCATCTAATGATGAGGCATAGTTAATGTAGATGAAATGCTTTGAGATCCTCCAAGGGCGTGCTGCACATGGGCAAATAACATTTGAAATAGCTGTCTGTAAGTCTAAAAGCAACTGGAAAGCCATCAGCTAGTGAGGAGCTGGTGATCATGAGTCCATTTCTGGTCCATGGTAGCTGTGGAGCTGTATGCTTGTCTGCCTGCAAAGGAACCCCTCCCATCACCAACCTCCAGCCGGGAACTACTGGCACCCCAGAGGTAACGTCTAATTAGTACAGCGCTAGCATTACCCCGAATATGAACATCCTATTCCCCTTAATATGCAAAACACGGAGGGGGGTGGGGATTCTAGACGGTGCTGCACACCACGTGTGAACACTCAGCCTTAGCCGGGAGACTGAGTGTTGCATCATTATGGCAAGTGTTATGAGCTCTCTAATTCCTGTTTTACTAATGAGATGAACAAGTGCATCGGTGTTCATTTCCAGTGGCTGCGACCGGGGGAAATATTTGCGTCATCGCACGGTGTGTTTTCTTCTGAGCATTGTATCCTGCCCCTAATATCACAAGTCAGCAGGATGTGGCCAGCTATTTGCAAGCTTTGATCTGATCCCTTGATTTTGTTAACGCTTTCTTTTTATATGAATTGACAGTTTGGTGGTTCTGTAAGAAATTATTCCAGAATCTAAGACCACTCTAATACGAGACAATATCAGAGCTGCATGTTTCTACCTTGATTTAACTGTGCCTTTTTAATACATACCCTTCATAACTCTCCAGTGTACCCCTTTGTAAAACCAGGACATTTTGGTTTCCACCTTCGATCCGGTTTTCAGGTGTGGATGCTCTTTCGAAAGAAGCTTGCAGTCTAGACATACCCATGGTGAGCTGGTCTTGCCTTCTACCTTCTCTGCTTTTCTCTATATCAGAAACCACTATGTAGCTTTTTCCTGCACATCAGCCCCACTGCTAGGCCGCTGCTATAGATCATTTGAAACAGGGTTAGAGATATTGGCAGCTTTCTTGTTCTCTGTTGATATGTTGCCTGATCTAATATGATGATGAAATCAAACAGGACTGCAACCTTGATTAAAAAAACAAAAAATCAAAATCGGGGGTCTGTTCTTGGTCTGCCACTGACCTGCTCTGTGCCCTCGAACAAGTAACTTCACCTCTCGCAGCCTCTACTTCCCCTCCCATCGTTGGTGCGTTTTGTCTAGTTCGTCAGCTCTTCAGAGCAGGTCTTATTATGTACAGCCCCTAGCACAATGCGTAATTTAAACAACAGTTTTAGCAGTGTTTGGTATTTTTCTGTATTAGGAAACACGTCAACCATCAGCGTCTTCTAATCACAATTTTTTTTTAGAAACTTCGGCAGGGCTCTTGCATAGCCCCTCTGCCAGAAGATCTTAGAGCAGTTCGTGTATGGGCAGAGGCAAGAATGGAATATATATGTCTAGAGCCATGAGGTCCAACCAGGTCTGCAGTAGCAAACTAGCCACATTACACTGAAAATATAAATCATTTTATGAGCCAATTTGCCTAGCTCAATGGGTACAAACAGCCACATGTGGCTCGTGACTAGCGTGTTGGACACCACGGGTCTGGATTGCTGGTCGCCTGGCCTAATTACTGAACTGCACTCCCTTCCCAAACCTTCGATCCCAGGACAAAGGGTGTCACAAGGAGGAAGGAGAAAATTTGTTCCTCTTGGTTTCTGAGGACAGGACAAGGAGTAATGGGCTTAAAGTGCAGCAGGGGAGGTTTAGATTGGACATTAGGAAAAAATTCCTAACTGTCAGGGTGGTCAAATGTTGGAATAAATTGCCAAAGGAGGTGGTGGAATCTCCCTCTCTGGAGATATTTAAGAACAGGTTAGATAGACATCTGTCAGGGATGGTGTAGATGGAGCTTGGTCCTGCCTTGAGGGCGGGGGGCTGGACTCGATGACCTCTCGAGGTCCCTTCCAGTCCTATGATTCTATGACATGTTGACTGTGAAAAAGCCAGAGTGAATTTCCTGACCGAACACGGGCTAAGTTAAATGGAAGATAGCTTCAGAATCTCTCCTGCTACAGCTCTCTGTTGGGTAACGGCCGGGCTTGGGTGACAGACACGCTGTTCTAATTCCTCAAGTCCGTGATGAATGTCAGCTGGCGAGCGCCATCCGCGTGTGCTCTGTGTTGTTTTTGTCAGTGGTTTGCAGCATTCACCCGGGTAACGCTGACCGTTTGTTAGCCAGGGCGAATTCTGTGTGGATCAAGGGGCGTGTTGCTTTGTGTTGCCCTCGGTGTTGCGTGCCCCTCGTTGACAACGCGCGCCTCCGTTTTTTCCGCTACGAAACTGCAGGCTCGGGAGGCAGGCAGCTGGGTTACAGAGCAGAAGATGATAATCCTTTGGAAAATAATCCCCGGGTTCCCACCCTAGTGAAAGGTGGGGCCTGCTCAGACGGGCGAACGTACCTGATATCGTAATGAGGAGTGACACTCGCTTCCCTTTCACCACTGCTCTTGCGGCGTTTCCCTCTGGCATTTGGTCACGAGGGCAAGGGGATGTCCCTGGTCTGTTCTGAGGAATGTAGGCGCTCGGCTAGCGTGTCCTAGCGCCTACAGCACTTTTTGTACAGCCCGCCCTCGCGATCAGCAAGCCCAGGGGAATCACGCCATTTGAGACGGGGCAGAGAGCGCCTCTGGTCCTGGAACCAGCGTGGGAGGCTGCCTGGAGGAGATTCTACCCCACCCCCTCCATGGCCACGGGGCTAAAGGAGTTTTCTGCCCCTGGGCCCAGCAGGTGGACCCGGGGACCACGTCTCTATGAGCACCAGGGTCGTTATGGCGACGGGCGTTAGAGTGAGGGTCCGTTGTGTTACAGTAGCATCTCATCGTGCCAACCACGAGGCAGGTGCTGTAGGAACTTCCAGGGAGAGGCACATCCAGTTTAGGCGCCTTAAAGAGGGGGATAAAACAGGGTTTGGCCCCAGGCAGAAAACGGAGATGCCAAGACCAGGCAGTGAGTCGGACAGAAATGTCGCTGAGGGACACTTCCTTAGGTTGTGAGCACCCTTCCGTAGGTCTCCCCACACTGCAGCCAGAGACGTGCCGAGCTGGCGTGCTGACCATAGCGAAGCTGTTCCCTGTGGAAGATGGGTTGGGCGCCTCGCCGCCCGCTGCCACCGCACCAACAGCCCCCGTGCAGGCAGGCCTGTTGGCTG